TCTACAACATTTCCTGTAGACGTTAATGAAACCATTTGAAAGGGTTTTTCTAACAGATTGGAATCATTTAAAAAGCGTATCCAAAAATATTAAATAGGGGCTTTAAATAGTTGGACATTGAAGGACAGATTCTAACCTTTAAAAAAAACACACACACAAAATAAAGAACAATAAGTATTCTTCACGAGTTGACGAGCGTACTCGTAACCAGTCCCTGGAGATAATCACAAATTGTGTTACATTTGGAACTCACATTATTATTATAAAAAAGGTTCACAAATGTAATATGATAATGGTTATACAAGCAGATAATGGGAGGTGGATTGTTACCATGCAAATGAAAGATTACACTGAATGTCAGTCTCAAAATATAACTCATTGAAAGGGATTTTACTGTGACTGCACATGGCAGATTTTAGCATTTTAATCTGAATATTTCACACACAAAAAAACACATTTACTTAAACTTTTTTTCTCAGCAGTCACGTTAGATGTCTGCTAGCAAATCATGTTTAGTGTGTTTAAAATGAGGTTCTAAATCCTGTCTGCAGCTATCTTAGGACACAATCTATATGTTCGCTAGAATTTCTGCATCACAATCCATTAATGAATTGTAAAGTTTTTTTAATTTAATCGGTGCTGTCACCAAAAATACACTTTATCTAATTTATTTGCTTCTACATAGCTCCATCTGTCTGAATCTGTTTTATTTCTTTCCTGGGTGCTCACGTTTTCTGAAAACACATAAAGAGACGTAAGGACTAATTTTCATGTATCGCATTCAAGTTGACAAAACTTGACAATGAGCTTAAAGACATTTACCCATAACCCATCAGTACAACGTGTCCCATAGAATGCAAACAGTAGACATCATGGCAGAGGAGACCAAAATGGCTGCACCCACGTAATGAGATCCAACACAAGAAGGAAAAGATAATAAATATAAAGGAAAGTGTCAAGTTGGGGAGTATAATAATTATTATACAGGGGACAAGAGGAAAGGAAAACCACAAGAAAGAAAAAAGATGACAGGGTCCACCTTAAGTTGTGCTGAATGTGACAGTAGAATGGATGGGCGTGAACGCATTGTAAATATATTACATACATTTTATTAATGGATGTTATCATGGGAAAAAAATAATTCCTTTAACATCAAGATGTAAACTTGATAGGTAAACATTTCATTTTAAAAACGGTGTTCATGGTCATAAATATTTATCTGAAAATAGCACAGGGTAGAAAAGGAATTTGTTTAAAGAGATGTCTCAAAATTACACCTAGAGTGGATTTGTAGAAAGGTCAATCAATATGCCAAAGACACCAAACAGAATTTGAAAAAGGTTAATTATATTGGCTAAAAAAACACTTTTGTTTAATGCTTATTATTACAAAAATAATCAAGAATGAAATGTTGGTCCATTCAAATCAGATATGGATTTGTTAGCTGATAATCATAAGGAAAGGCAAAACGTTTAAATACTATTATTCCCTTTAACATATTGCAAAGAAAAATTTATGGAAATCACAGCTACAAAAGTCTTACAGCAAGCATGGGGCTGGATGATATAACATTTAAATAAGCTTGAAGTACACAAAGCTGAGAGCCAGAAGGTGAGTTATTTTGAACTTTGTTTAGTAACAGGCAAATCATCTTACGAGATTCTTGCCTTCCAGGAGTTGTAACTAAGGATTGTCATAAAGGAAGTAGGGTGCAATTATTTTAAGGATTATTGAGGGATAATATTCCAGAATTTGAACAATTCCATGTTGATTTAGAAAAGCTGTGGTGGGTAGAAGGGTAAATAAGGAAATCTTATTCGTCCCGAATAAAATAAGACAATAAAACATAACATGCCCAGAAAAAAGAATCCACAATAGAAGATTCTACCGAAAGCATTCATCTAAGACTCTTGCTATTTAAGTTTGCTATATGTTTAGATGATACACCCCAACTTACAGTTGGATAATACTATTGTCATGAAGATTTATGCTTTTGAATATATTACAATTAGGATTCTATTACTCCATCAAAGGAAGCTGCACGTAATTGATTCAACTTCAGTTAGAATTGTCCAAATGCAATTAAAGCGTTGAGATTCAGCTCCACATGGGTACTGGAACCTTGCGAATCCTTTTTTTAGAAAGAACATAGCCGTGACCTGATCAGGACGCATTAATATTAATGCTCACACATAGGCTAGTATTACATAATGCATCAAATGCTTGGCACAAAGAGAAAGTGGGATATAGGACACAATAGTAGGCTTTTCTTCCTGTATAATAGAACCAAGGTGTCCGTTTCATTTTAAAAACAGATAGAAATGTTTCTTAAGAAAATAGATTGAGTACTTTAGGACATAAATAACGGAAAAAACATTCTGCTGTCAGCCCAACTCTATTACTCAATACTTGTGATCAATACTTTATTCTAGGATAAGGACATAAAAGACAACTGATACAAAAAGAGCAGACCATAATTATATCTATTCTCCAATAAGGAAGGTAGAGGAACGGATTGGAATGGTACTTGCACACGGGTGTATCTGTGTTGAAATTTGCTTCCTTAATGATGCTTACAGCTGTTTAATGGCATGTCATCCCATCACACTAAGCATGCAAGGATGGGAAACAGTCACCGAGGGCTTCCCATACGTAGATCACTGCCGCAAAACTTACACATAGTCATTTATTTCTGTCCACTTAGCATTGTTCATGGAGGACACCAGGAAGAAACTTGAAAATGTAATGCATGAGCCCAAAATCAGGACTGTAGTCAGGATTTTGGCAAGTATGGTTTTGGCTCAGTGCTCCAGCACAATTAATATGAACTGAATACTGTTATTCCTACAAAGTTCACTGAATATGAATGTAAATACCCTGAGATTTAAACTGTCTGCAATGTATCCTCATCATTTAGCGTTATTTTAAATTCGGTGTGCTGGACATTGATCCAAAAATGCTAAACTTTTGTCACTGTCGAAATTTGCTTAGACAGCACTATAGACTTGTAAGAGTCATGTGGACATCAGCAGACCAGGAATGGAAATTGGCATTCTGTTTCTAAGATGATTAAAGTAAAAAGCATTCATTGAACAGCAAACATTAATCACGGAAACAGCTTAGAACACGAAAATTTGATAAAAGCATACATCCCAAGTGTCCTTATTTAGGAAGGACAGTCCCTATTTTGGACCCAAATCCATTTCTCCTACTTTTCTATCCTAATGTCCCTTGTTTCTTGGAGCTCCGTATTGTTGGTTTGTCTCAGTGTGTAACAGAGCTTCACAGCAATAATGATCACAATTCCCAGATTTTACTAATAACATGACGTAAAGTCATGATTTTATTAATGACACGGAGGCGAGTATTATGCTATCTCTTTCTTACTTTATTCCTCAGCAGCAAAGAGAAATATAAAACTGAAAGAGAAAAAATGTAGATATGAAAATAATAACAGGTACAACCAGATCTGCCTAGTAACAGGGCAGCCAATCAGCTTAGTAGGAACAGTCCATAAATGTCTTGCTTAGTACTTCCACTTCCTCTTCTTTGCCTTCTGGACCGAAGACCCAAACCAAACTTCCACATCAGGAAAGAACAATCTCCAACAAGGTAGACGTCATCTTAACGAAATCAAGCTATAAAACAGAGAAAAGGTAGGTAAAATCCAAACTCCGGACCTGCATGTAACATTTCATGACAATCTGGCCTGCAGGACTAAAAACGTCAAAATCGTAACCACATAAGTACATAGATCCAAATACGTCAAGTCAGAGAAAAAACTGTGAACACTTACCTTAAGGTAAAAGAACCCCCCCCGATTGAACCATAAGTATAGACCCAAACCATACCCACTGGGTGGGAGGGTGGAAATAATACTCGCCTCCGTGTCATTAATAAAATCATGACTTTACGTCATGTTATTAGTAAAATCTGGGAATTTTATTAATGACACGGAGGCTCCTATTATGCTAGTTTAAAGCTGAGCCACAACTAACAAGGAAACATGGTCAATTGGGCGGAAATAAAAATCGCGGAATGTAGATTCTCTAGACCAATCCGCTGCCTTCAGGATATCATCCAGACGACATCCCATCGTGGAGGCCTTAGACGCCATGGCGCCTCTGACTGAAAGAGCCGAAAATATTGAAGTATCGATTCCTGCAGTGGATAGAAGATTCTTAATCCAACAAGCTAACGTAGTCGAGGAGATCGGGAGAAACGGTTTCTTGAAGGAAATAAACAATTGGGATAAATCCAATGACCTCAATAGGTGAGTGCGATCCAAGTACACCCGTAGGCAAGCTACCGGACACAGAGCAGGTCGGACTGAACACCTAGGGTAGGTCACTGACTTAGAAGACGTCTTAGTCCTCCTAGAGATGTTAAACGACACTCCCTCGGGGGTGAAGGATAACGCATTCCAGTCCAAAGCCCTGACATCTGAAACCCTTTTGCATAAAAGGAGACACAGGAGCATAACCAATTTCCAGGATAATTGCATCAGTGACAGGTCCTCATTAAGGGGCCATGATTCCAAGAAGTCCAGCACCACGTTAACATCAAAAAGGGATGAATACCTGGATTTCGGAGGCCTAGAGTAACGAATACCCTTCAACAAACGGCACACAAAAGGATGTTGTCCAATCGGTGATCCGTCAATACCTAGATGTCCGGGTGAGATGGCTGATCTATAAACATTGATAGTGCGATAGGCCAAACCAGATTCAAAACGTGTAGTCAGAAAACTGAGCACCTCCTTCAGAGGGGCAGAAAGGGGATCCAGCAGTCTCCCCACGCACCAGCCAGACCACACACGCCATGCAGACTTGTAAGCTGTTCTGGTACCCGGTGCCCAGGCATTCTCCAAGAGTCTTGTAGTAGCCTGCGGAACATCCGAGACACACCAGGGTCCCCCGAAATCAACCAAGCCGTGAGCTGGAGCAGGTCCTGGTCCACTAATTCGTGCAAGTTCCCATCCGGATCCAGAAGCACCTCTGGTCGCATCCTGATCATTCGTGGGCATTCCGCCGCCATCTCCAAGAGACGGGGGAACCAAGGCTGAGTCTGCCATAGGGAAACTATCACCACCAATGTGCACTCTTGACCGGACAAGTATGCCAGCGTCCAAGAGATCAGGTTGAAAGGGGGAAACGCAAAGTGACGACCCCGAGGCCATATCTGCAGGAACGCGTCCACCGCCGTGGCTGATGGATCCGGTCTCCAACTGAAGTATTGGGGTAGTTGAGCGTTCAGTCTGGATGCGAACAAGTCCAGTTGTAACGGGCCCCATAGTTGATCTATCTGTCGAAAGATCGAAGGCAACAGATGCCAATCTCCCGAGTCTTTCAAGTATCGCAAATTCCAGTCCGCCCATTCGTTGTCCAAGCCCGGGATGTGTTCGGCCGTGACCGACACCGCGCTGTGGAGGCAGAACTGCCAGAAATCCTTCGCTAGATTCGCCAGTTGTTTTGACTTCGTGCCACCTAGGTGATTTATATATCTGACCGCGGACACATTGTCCATGCGCAGAAGGACGCAGCAGTTTCCCAGGGTTGGAGACAGGCTGCGAATAGCGAACGATCCCGCCAGCAATTCCAGACAGTTGATGTGTAGCGTTGATTCGATTTTGGACCATCTGCCACCTGTGGAGTCATTTCCACAGCGAGCGCCCCAGCCATGCAGGCTGGCATCCGATTCTATCACCATATCCAGGGCGGTGCCGAAGATTGCACATCCATTCCATGCCTCCATATGATCCAACCACCATTGAAGTTCCTCCTTGGAGTCTCTGTCCAGGCATAGTTTGCTTTCGTACAAACTGCCCGAGCGAAGGTGGGATCCCTTCAGACGTTGTAGGGCCTGATAATGTAGGGGTCCCGGAAAAATCGCCTGAATGGAGGAGGCCAAAAGACCAATGACCCTCGCCAGTTGTCGTACGGAGAGATTGGTGGTCCGTAGAGTACGTCTTATTTCTTTCTTCATAGCCTTTAGCTTGGCCTCTGGAAGGAACAGAAACTGGGCGACCGAATCAACTTCGAAACCCAGAAATTCTATTTTCTGCATTGGGGTCACCATGGACTTTTCCCAATTTATGAGAAAACCTAAGTTCTCCAGAAGATTCACCGTCCAACTCAGGTGCTGTAGAAGTTGATGGGGGACGCGGACATAATCAGTATGTCGTCCAGGTAGATAATCATCCGTACTCCCCGCGACCTGAGGAACGCCACCACCGGTTTCATCACCTTCGTGAAGCACCAAGGTGCTGAAGAGAGACCGAAGGGCAGACAGGGAAACCTCCACCGACGTCCTTGCCACGTAAAGTGCAATAAGTCCCAGTGTACCTCTGCCATTGGTATAGTCAGGTATGCGTCCTTGAGGTCTAGTTTGACCATCCAATCCCCTTGCCGAAGCAGATCTCTGAGGCAATGTATGCCCTCCATCTTGAAGTGATGGTAACGAAGGAATCCGTTGAGTCGTTTGAGATTGATCACCGGCCGAACTCCTCTGCCTTTCTTGGCGACGAGGAACAGGTTGCTTAGAAATCCCGGATGATCGTATGGGACTTCTTGTATTGCCCGCTTGGCCAGAAGTTCCGAGATCTCCTTGGTAATCAGCCCAGACTGATCTTCCGGCAACCTCAGTTCCTGAGGTGAATCCACCTGGATAGGGGGAGATAAAAGATCCAGGCGAAAACCTCTGATAGTATTTAACACCCACATATCTGTGGTGATCATGCCCCACATGTCGAGAAACAAAGCTAACCTGCCTCCCACACTCGCCCGGAGAGAAATACTTTTTTGAGTACTCACCGTAAGGGCGTCTGTATGAGGGCTGACCACGTCCTCCCCGATTCTGCCATGTCCTCCCGCGGGAGGGAAAGAAGGGAGCGGGAATGTAGTCCAGATAGGCCCGAGGGGCAGCAAAGGAACCTCTATGAGTCCGTGAGGGACCTCGAATTCCACGGCCGGGCGGACGGCTACTATACCTCCCGGCCCTGTTGAAAACCTTGGGCCAAAAACTCGTTTAAGGTTGGATTGGGCCTTATCTAGGGCAGTGAAGGTACGCACAAATGAGCCCAAGTCTTTAACAAAAGACTCACCGAAGAGCATGCCTTTAGCGGCAGCGCCCGGTTCCTTCATCGCAAGGTTAACCAGTTTAGGCTCGATTTTAAGCAAGATCGCCTTGCGGCGTTCGGCTGACATAGCCGTGTTAGCATTGCCGAGTAGGCAAATCAATCTCTGGCCCAACCTATTGCTACATCGAAATCAAGGGGGGTATCCCCTGTTTTAGCCGTCTCCAATAGCTCATAAAGCTTAGCCACGGGACCTAGAGTGTCCAAAATCTTGTCCTGGCAATTATGAAGTGAAAACTCCAAAACCCTTTCTGGGTTTCCAGCCCGTTTTTGTCAGGAACTGTGAGATCTGAGGGTCAACCTCTGGCGTCTTACACGCCGCATCAGGCACTGAGGGCCTTGGGCATTCGGCCCGTAACTTACTGCGCCCCTCCTTGGATAAGGGGGTACACATACGAAGCACTAGATAGCTAGCTATATGCTCGGGCGGGTCCCATTCCGCCGAGCGAGGATGACGAAGGTCATCAGGATCGAACAGGGGGTAACCCTGCAGATCGCATATGCCTTGTTCCTCACTCGGAGGTAACGCCGAAGCGTCAGACCCCGCCTCCGCGTCAGAGTCCTCTTCCTCATAAGAGGCATAGTTGGGGGTGTCCGAACCTGTCTCCCCACTTGGACCGGAGTCTGACCCGTCATTGCCATGGGCACGCGCCCTTTTCCACTTTCTGGCCGATTTTGCCCAGCCAGTGGCTCTCTTGCGCGGTAACGCGCCATCTTGGACGGCCGGAGGCGCGTCAGTCAGGGCAGGTATTACCTGTGTCATATCGGGGGAGACATGTTTAGTTTTGGCATATGCCTTGTGGCAGACCTGAGGTTGCAGCGCAAGCAGGGGGCTTGCCAGCATAGGAGAAACCAGGGGCTGAGTCAGGGCCTGTTGAATAGTGTGAGACAGCGATGATGAAACTGTCCCCATGGCAGAGGCCAGGGCCCTCTGCATAGTAGAATCAATAAGGGCCTGGAACTCTTGAGAGGGGGTGAGACCCCCTTCACCTGAGATAGGGGCCTGAAAGGCTTCCATGGTGGGGTAACTGGGACAGCCAGAATCATCACCCTTAGCCTGCATGATAGACAGGAGGGCAAATAAGCTTGTGGGTAAAAAGGGGTATGTCCCTTTAAATATATGCAGATAAAAAATTAAGCCACAAGAAATATTATGGGAGCCAGGGCACCAGTCTCAGAATATAAATGATATAACAGGATGATGGAACAAACCTAAACTACACTATAGGGGTTGAGTAACTCACAAATCAAATACCTGTGGAGAAAACAAGGGGAAAGGGAGCCGACCGCCGGATCCGCCAGCAGCCACGTGTGTGAGAAAATATGGCCGCCGCATGCAGAGCATGCCGCGGCCCCAAGCTCCTCCCCCGCCAATGGCTGGGGAGCTCATGGAAAAACACACGCGGCCGGAGGTAGAGCGGGTCGGAGCCGAACGCGGCCGCACACACGGTCGCGAGGGGAGGAGGGGGGGCGGTCAGGGAGCACAGCAGCTCCTAAGAAAAAAGCTTCCCCAGTGATCCGCGGTCCCTGTCTGTGCTCACAAAAGGTACAGCACAGGCAGGGAGACCGTGCAAAGCAGGGGAAGAACAGAGACACCCAAAAGGGGTGCCAAAAAACATCAAAACAATATACAGAAATCACATAGGGCGCACAAAGCAGCATCCAAGTAAATAATACAGGAAAAATAATCAGTAAATAAACCCATAAAAAACAATCCAAGATCAAAATATACAGGAGTGAAATTAATACTTAGCTGGTCTGAGGACAGCAGCAAAGAAAGAGGAAGTGGAAGTACTAAGCAAGACCCTTATGGACTGTTCCTACTAAGCTGATTGGCTGCCCTGTTACTAGGCAGATCTGGTTGTACCTGTTATTATATTTCATATCTACATTTTTTCTCTTTCAGTTTTATATTTCTCTTTGCTGCTGAGGAATAAAGTAAGAAAGATATAGCATAATAGGAGCCTCTGTGTCATTAATAAAATTGTCTTTAAACTACAAAAAATGTGTTTAGAAATTAAACTCACCTGTGTGAACTTTGAAATCCAAGGCCAAGCTACTTTTGGCAGCACTCGTAAAGTGAGATGGTTGAGAGGGTTTGACAATGAATGCTGCTGACAGGCTGATATATAAGACTTTATTCAAAGCTGAGTTATTTTTGTTCCTTTCCATGAAATTGATATTCTAGATACAATATCTAAAGGCTTTATACAATAATCACTTTTGGATCAAATGTTACAAAAGTAAAAGCATAGAAACGCATTGTAGTGGTGTTTAAAGCTCTGTGTCAATATCAATTGTCCAATACAATGACGTTATGTGGACAGTGAAGAGATGTTTGTTGTCAGTTTGTTTTTAGACAAATATCTCGTTCTACACATGTGTATATTATAGAGAACTGAGCATAATGTCCAATAAATTGGTGCCATGTAAATGATAATAAAAATGTATTGAAATTGTAGCTCCACAAACCACAAGCGTTTAGTTAATTACTAATCAGAAATTCATGGCCGCACTGCTACATTTAGAATTTTATTTCAAAGCACTTTAAATACTAATCTAGAGAGGCCTATTATCTTCTAATTTATTATGTAGCAAAAAATAAATTAGGACAAAACCATGAAAAAAAAAAAAAAGAAAAAGATGGTCATAGTTTCAGATATCAGGCAATAGGCTGGTTTTAGGTAATTCTGCTGGGTCATTTCTGGGTGGCAATAAGACCAGGAACCTTATGGTAATTTGTATGGTCCCTCCTGTATTATCTGGCAAGCCTGCTGTAGAAACCAGATCTATGCCTCCCCTATACCACTCTATACGTTCAACCCTAAACCCTAACACATTTCATGAATCACATTATAACACCAAATCTTTGAAAGAATTCAGAGTATTATGTGAATCTTGAGTTCTAATTTTCATACCTACTGTTTTAATAGTATACCATGTTGTATTGACCCTGCACTAGTGATGTACCGAACGGTTCACCGGCGAACGGTTCCTGGCGAACATAGCATGTTCGCGTTCGCCACGGCGGGCGAACATATGCGCGGTTCGACCCGCCCCCTATTCGTCATCATTGAGTAAACTTTGACCCTGTACCTCACAGTCAGCAGACATATTCCAGCCAATTAGCAGCACAGCCTCCCTAGCAGACCCTCCCACCTACTGGACAGCATCCATTTTAGATTC